GTTTTGTGAATGAGAAGCAAAATATTGATTAATATGAAGTTCGCAGGCTGGCCATTCTGTGTTGTTGTTGTTGTTAGATGCTGTCGAGTCAGTTCCAACTCATAGCAACCCTGTTTACAACAGAACGAAGGTCCCGCACCATTCTCACAATCGTTATGCTTGAGCCCATTGTTGCAGCCACTGTGTCAATCCATCTTGTTGTTGGCCTTCCTCTTTTTCGTTGATCCTCTACTTTACCAAGCATGATGTCCTTCTCCAAGGATTGATTCCTCCTGATAACATGTCCAAAGTATGTGAAAATAAGTCTTGCCATCCTAGTTTCTAAGAAACATTCTGACGTCTTCTTCCAGGACAGATTTGTTTATTCTTTTGGCAGTCCATGGTATATTCAGTGTTCTTCGCCAACACCATAATTCCAAAGCATCAATTCTTCTTCGGTCTTCCTTATTCATTGTCCAGCTTTCGCATGCATGTGAGGCGATTGAAAACACCATGGCTTGGGTCAGGAGCACCTTAGTCTTCAAGGTGACATCTTTGCTTTTTAAACACTTTAAAGAGGCCTTTTGCAGCAGATTTGCCCAATGCAATGCGTTGTTTGATTTCTTGACTGCTGCTTCCATGAGTGTTGATTGTGGATCCAAGTAGAATGAAATCCTTGACAACTTCAATTTTTTCTCCATTTATCATGATGTTGCTTATTGGGGTAGTTGTGAGGATTTTTGTTTCTTTATGCTGAGGTGTAATCTATACTGAAGGCTGTGGTCTTTGCTCTTCATCAGTAAGTGCTTCAAGTCTCTTCACTTTCAGCAAGCAAGGTTGTGTCATCTGCATAACATAGGCTGTTAATAATGCCTCATTCTTCTTCATATAGTCCATCTTGTCAGATTATTTGCTTAGCATACAGGTTGAATACCTACGGTGAAAGGATACAACCCTGACTCATGCCTTTCTTGACTTTACCACACAGTATCCCCTTGTTCTGTTTAAGTGACTACCTCTTGGTCTAAGTGCAGGTTCCTCTTGAGCACAGTTAAGTGTTCTGGAATCTCCATTCTTTGCAATTACCCATAATTTATTATGATCCACACAGTTTAATACCTTTGTATAGTCAGTAAAACACAGGTAAACATCTTTCTGATATTCTTTTTCAGCCAGGATCCATCTGACATCAGCAGTGATATCGCTTGTTCCATGGCCTCTTCTGAATCCGGCTTGAATTTCTGGCAGTTCCCCGTTGATATGCTTCTGCAACTGCTTTTGAATGATCTTCAGCAACATTTTACTTGCGTATGATATTAATGGTATTGTGCGATAATTTCCACATTCAGTTGGATCACCTTTCTTTGGAATCGGCATAAATATAGATCTCTTGTAGTCAGTTGGCCAGGTAGCTGTCTTCCAGATTTCTTGGCATAAACGAGTGAGCACTTCCAGTGCTGCATCTGTTTGTTGAAACATCTCAATTGGTATTCCATCAATTACTGAACCTTGTTTTTTGCCAATGCCTTCAGTGTAGCTTGGACGTCTTCCTTCAGTACCATTGGTTCCTGATCATATGCTACCTCCTGAAATGGTTGAACATCGACCAATTCTTTTTGGTACAGTGCCTCTGTGTATTCCTTCCATCTTCTTTCGATGCTTCCTGCGTTGTTTAATATATTCCCTGTAGAATCCTTCAATATTGCAATTCTAGGTTTGAATTTTTTCTTCATTTCTTTCAGCTTGAGAAATGCCAAGCATGATCTTCCCTTTTGATTTTCTACCTCCAGGTCTTTGCACATGTCATTATAATACTTTACTTGGTCTTCTCGAGCCACTCTTTGAAATCTTCTGTTCACCTCTCTTACTTCATCATTTCTGCTGTTTTCTTTAGCTACTCAGTATTCAAGAGCAAGTTTCAGAGTCTCTTCTGACATCCATTTTGGTCTTTTCTTTCTTTCCTGTCTTTTTAATGACCTCTTGCTTTCTTCATATATG